GAAAACAAGTACAATTGGGCAAAATGACGGCAAATTGTTTAGTTACAACTGTAAGCTTTAATTACAATCTTACGGATTTTCCCGAAGTTCCAGAGGGGAGGCTCCGGTGTCCTTTCATCTCCGACATATATAACAATTAATTATTATTAATAAGGCCTTCATTATTAAAACGTACATGTTTCAATATAAGAAATACATTTATAACATTCTGTAAAAAAGCATTTCCTTTAGATTTATATTTATTTCAATGTCGAAATAAAAGGGAAAGGTCAACACTGGAATTCCCTCGGAGAATAAATGTCAAGGACACGAAAGTAGGTGAAGGTGCACAAGCAAGTGTTTTAACGTGTTTAGAGAACAGATTCGATCAGTTTTATTATTGCGTGGCTCTCGTGAAGATCATAACATTTACATGTTAAATAATAATAAAAATTTAAATGAACGTAATTAATAGAAAATCTCGGGAAAACTATGTCTGTTGCATCTACTTCAGAACGTTTAACTGAATCTGCAGGCGTTAAGATTTATATGGCGGAAAACAGTACGTCAATCGATACAGCCTTTACGGGGGAAATTTGTATAATATTAGAAAATATAAAAAAAACGAAAGCAATTGGTAAATCTTGCGGATTTCATTTAACAAAGTAAATCTTGCGGATTTCATTTAACAAAACAAAATCAAAGTGGGACCCTTATCCGTGGATAAGCCATATCGAAACCGGGAGTATTGCCGATCATGCTGGACTTAGGTAAGAATAAGAGAAACAACGAAATAATCTGTTTTATTTTGTTTGTTAAATTTTAGAGCTGGAGATTGTTTAATTAGTATCGATGGAAAGGATTTAATAGGATTAAAAGTAAAACAAATAGCGGCTTTAGTCCATCATTATGAAGGATGTGATTTAAAATTATTTATTTGGAGATGCATTAACAAAGGAGAAAAAGAAACCGGAATAGCTGTGAAAGGACCACTGCCAGATGTGGCCTGTAAACTTGCAAATGCAGTAGCTGGAGTGGTCTGTATACTCTGATATTAGATAGTTCCTTTATTATTAAAGAATTATTCTTTAAATTTGTCTAGATACACTTTACGATATTTTAGAAAAGTAATTATTAAATTCATTTAGACACGAGCTCTAGAATGCCCAGTTTGTCTGGAAAGCTCCCTGCCTCCAGTTTCTCAATGTGTTCATGGTCATATCATTTGTGTTGGATGTAGATCGAAAACACATCGTTGTCCGATTTGTAGAGTTAGACTGGGTCAAGGAAGGTGTTTGCTCGCGGATAAACTTCATAAGTTATTTCAGGACATTTTTGACATAAAAGGCAATGTAAATAACAATGCAGAATGTCACACGCGAAATCTTCAAGATCGGCTTTTTGGTAAAAACAAGAAGAAAGAACTAAAACAAGCAGCGGAGAAACATGATTTTACAAATACGAAAACACGTCAATTATTATTAAGCAGGTTATTTCGCGGTGGATTGGAAAAAGCTGCTTCAGTGGATAATTTAACAATAGTTTCCAATGAAAAGCCAAATGCAAATACTGCACCTGTAGATTTAAACCCTGATGAACATGCAAGTTTGTATGATCGAACGAAATCTGCAAGTACTGGAGAATTGTCAAAAGAGACTATGAAAGACATTGACAATCATTTGCAATCTGATGCAACTGTTACCTTAATATCAAGTAGTAATAGTTTAATGTCCAATGTATCTCCCACACCAATTTGGGGAGGCTCTATAGATTCTATAACCTGTACCCAAATCATGTGTCCTCTTTCAAGGCAAAATGGATGTAAAGATATTATTACACCTGTTACGGTATTGGAACATTTGAGCGGAATTCATGAACTACCACAAGTTCATTTTTATTCTATTTGCGTTAAACTTCCAGTACCTCTTCCATTTGGTTCAAAAGCTGTTTACATATTGCACTGTGGTGAAGATCTCTTTTTCTTTCAGGTATATTTCTTAAGCTTGATACAGTTATTTATTTCGTATACAAAATAATGTTATCAATCATAAATATACAGTGTGAAGATGAAATTGTTTGGATCAGTAGTACCAGAGGGGGAAAAATACCATGGGAATGGACTTTATATGGTAAAGGGCAGAATGGTACTGAGATAAGAATGCGTAGAAGTGTTGCAAGTCTTACAAATCCCATGATGTTAACATCCCAACATATTGCCCCCTTACCAAATGCTTTGTTATTGTACACATTGGACATTCAACTAATAGAATGTCATTCAAATGAACAGTTAGAGATATAGAATATACATAAAAGCTATTAAAAATTATAAAATACATTTTATTCTAGTGTAAAAGATGTATAGTATCACAATATTAATATATATATATATATATATATATATATATATATATATATATATATATATATATATATATATATATATATATATATATATATATATATATATATATATATATATATATATATATATATATATATATATATATATATATATATATATATATATATATATATATATATATATATATATATATATATATATATATATATATATATATATATATATATATATATATATATATATATATATATATATATATATATATATATATATATATATATATATATATATATATATATATATATATATATATATATATATATATATATATATATATATATATATATATATATATATATATATATATATATATATATATATATATATATATATATATATATATATATATATATATATATATATATATATATATATATATATATATATATATATATATATATATATATATATATATATATATATATATATATATACTACTAAATAATATAAATATATATAAGTAGTATTATGATGCATTATAGAATCCACTATAAAAGAGGATAGTCATCTATTAAGATCAACGTGCAATAACAAATGGAATTATTAAAATATACATTATTAGCTTTGTAAAATATATAAATAGATAGCACATTATAAAACCATGTTCCTTGTTTTTTTTAAACATATATGTGAAAGACATAACATTCATGCAAATATGCATTTAGGGAGTTTTACGCAATATATCATCCATGTACGGTTTAAAAAAATCAAGCTGACCAGTTTTTATTGCTTGACCCGCCATGATGTCATATGCATACTTTAATACAGCCAAGTAGTTTTCTTTTCCAACAATATTTAATTGAACATTGAAGACATGTGTATCACAGGAAGGCATCATTTTTTTCCCAACTGGTATACAAAGTTTTCTTTTTTTTATATCAGATTGTGCATCTGTTACTTCAGCTTCTTCTTTCTTCTTATCTCTTTTAGGACAACTACAAACTCTAACAGGAAGTCTTTGTCGACCCAAAATTCTTCTATTACAATTTTCCAAAGTAAAAATTAGTTCTGTTGGTCTGCGATTCATTCCAGATGGACAACTATTTTTACATAAAAATTTGAAGCACACTGGAACATATTGAGAACCAGGTTGTGGTCTATTAAGGGGTACCACTATAGACAGATGTTCACTTCTTTCTTCATACATGGTAAGATGGTGTGTACAACGAACAACATGTTTAATCACTCTGGGGGCTACATCTCTATTACTTGGATTATTTGGTGCCATGTGATTATGACATCTTCTAACTGGATCACTAGCATACTGATCTAAACTAAAAACCATGGCGGTACGTAAAAGAAGACCATCTTCAGGTGGTTCCCACTTAAAACGTAATGGCAGTGTTTCTTCCATGTTGATAAATACTTTTTTTAATACTTGTGAATACTATATAAGATGAATAAACTTAAATTACATATTTAAGACATTATTGTATGTAATTAATAACAGTTTAATTATATACTTACTACCCAATTCTTGCTAGAATCCAGATTACCCAGTGAAACCTGAAAATTATAACGACCAGGAAACTCTTCTTTTATTGGAATGGCAGGATCAAGTTCTTGAAAATACTCTTCATCTTGTTCTTCTTCTTCATCTTTCATTTGCTTTTTAGATTCCAAATATTGTTGTGGCAAATCGTACTTTTCCTCCATTTCCTCTGTTATACTTTGCATCCAAGATCCACTAAATCCACTAAATAAAGCAACATAACATGTAATATATTTAATACAAGCGAAAAATAAAATATCGATATCGATGAGAATGTAATATAATAATTATATATCAACACTTCTTACATATCCTTTACTAGTGCCTTATATTCTTCTTCACCTAATATATCAGACTCTTGTGAGTCTGAAAACCCATTTGCAGTAGTCATATTCCATCAAATATTTGCTAGATTTGTCACAACAAACCCACATATATATATAAATCACGTTGCGGTGAAAAAGACGCCATTTATATCCGCGGGAAAATCATTCGTTGAAATAATGGTTGATTCTCAATTATTTTAAAAATCGCACCATCAGTTGGAGTCCAAGTAATAATGTATTTTATATCTGAAGGGCTTCCAGGGCAAAGAAATAAACTCATTAACTCGTTAACTCATTTCAAAATAAGTTATACCTATAATAAATAAAATAGTAATATTGTATAACCGGCGCTTGTAAGGGTATGCGTATTAGGAATGCTAAAGATAATACCCTTTAACAACAACAAAAAAAAAAAATAATTGTTCTTTCTCTTCTTAATTTATATTTTTTATACATGTTCATTTGACTTTTACCTTATTAATAAAAATCTATCTATATCTAATCCTAATGGGATTACTAAATTCTGACCAATTAAAAAGTATCAAGCTATAATCGAAGACGCTTACATGCGGATACTTCATTCGAAATCGTATAATTTCCAATACATCGGTAACAGACAACGTTGATTTATTAGATATTCACGTTAGCCTCTTCCGATCGTATAAAGAAACGAGCAAGATGGGTCAGTGGTCGATGTTAAAATTACATTGTTTTTAAAAGTGTAAATCTGAAATTGATAAATATGTGTTGTTCTCATCGACTGTTGAATTTGTTTTAACTATAGTTTCATTATATGTTTAGTAGAAGATTTTGAAATAATAAAATGAAGATGAAATGTATTAAATAAAAATGATACATAACCTAACTTTTTGATTTACAGGTAAACCTCGTGGTCTTCGTACTGCGCGTAAGCATGTAAACCACAGACGCGATCAACGATGGAATGATAAAGACTACAAAAAAGCTCACTTGGGAACGCGGTGGAAAGCCAATCCATTCGGTGGTGCTTCTCATGCTAAGGGTATTGTTTTAGAAAAAGTGTATGTATATTTATATTATTCGTCTCTTATTATATCATATTTATATTAATCTTTTCGAATTAGAATAAATTTCTATATGAAATTTTAATTCAACGATCATATGTTTTCAGTGGTGTAGAAGCCAAACAACCAAACTCTGCTATTCGTAAATGCGTACGAGTGCAACTTATCAAAAATGGCAAGAAAATTACTGCTTTTGTACCTAGGGATGGTTGTTTAAACAATATCGAGGAGAATGACGAAGTTTTGGTAGCAGGTTTTGGTCGTAAAGGTCATGCAGTGGGTGATATTCCAGGAGTTCGATTCAAAGTAGTGAAAGTTGCTAATGTTTCGTTACTTGCACTTTATAAAGAAAAGAAAGAACGACCTAGATCATAAAATCATTGTCACGTATTTCTAACAAATCTGTAAAAGATTTTTAAATCAATTAATATTTTATTAATGAACTGTTTTAATTAATTACTAATTTACCCGTACCTGTAGAAGCTTTTACTTTTACAAAAGTACAAAAATACAAACGCAAAGACCGATGTTTTAAAAAACAGTTAAAAGAGAATTAGCATTACAAATCAATAAGTATGGAAATACGCATTCTTAACTTTTACAATATATGTAATAATAACATTTTTAGTAATTTCATTCAATGAAGTATTTAACTTTTCTATTGTGGTACATTGGCGTTCAATATTTCCCTTTTTGCTTGTAGAAACTGAACGTTAAATAATTTTAATTTATATAAATTAATATTAATTGTATCAAATATAAGCAAGTATATAGAAATATACAAAATCTGCCTTAATGATGAAAAGTTTGAATTTATATTATTAATATCAGCATTCCTGGAGTATAATGTATTCTTGATACTTTTTGCATTAAATGTGACCATGAATCAATGGATTAATGCGCGCGCCTCCATACAATTTCTTTCCTCTTCATTAAGTAACAAATCTCAACCATTTTCATTAGTTGGTACAATCAGTAAAGGAACGATTCTATATGACAAATGAACTGAAAAAGTAAAACACAGCTTTCTCATTTCTGGTTCATTTTTAGAAATATACTTTCTTATAAGGAACCATTCTTTTTGTAGTTGTAGAATTAATTATAGGCAACTTTATATACATTTTTTAATGACATTATTTTTTAAACCTGTTCTATTACATTGTTGCGTGATCTTTAAAAGATTCTGAGGATTTTGGCAAGGTTGCAGCCTGTGGAGTGCTGAGGCACTCTACTTGTGTTAGTCAGGTCAGTAAGGAACATATACAAGCAACCACCGTTATCGTACAGACTAACAGCAACCAACTGCAGTTGCCAGCAGTATACGTACCGCCGCGACACAAAATTACAACGCAAATGTGGGAAGAGTACTTCCGACACTTAGGTGACAAGTATATTGCAGCGGGAGGCTATAACTCACAGCACACACTATAGGGATCAAGAATCGCCACACCTCGAGGCAGAACCTTGGAAAAATACATTAGAAATAATAACCTCAATATATTATCCACAGGAAGACCGACATACTGGCCGACAGACCTGAGCAAAATACCTGACCTGCTAGACCTTGCAGTTACAAAGGGACTAAACGCAAATAAACTAAACATAGCACCCAGCCTCGAGCTTACCTCCGACC